TTTTTTTTTTTTTTTTTTTTTTTGCACCAAAGTGGCAACTAGGTCAGTGTTGGGGGATCAAGCTGGCCTCGGGGTGGGGGGCCCCCACCTGCTTCTCCCTGGTTCCCACAGTGTTAGCGTCCCTGAAAAGACAATATTCTCTCTAAAGCAATAAGGGGTGACGGGCCGGGGGGAGTGTTTGCTGCTGCTGGCCCCCAGCTCCCCTTCCCTCTCGCCAGGTGTGGGGGAGACTCCTGTTGTGACTGAATGTAACCCCCCCACCCCTGCCGCAGCCAATGCAGGGGAAGGGGGACACTCTTCCTGTCTCTTCCTGCCCCTTCTCCCCAGCTAAAGAGACTTTGGATTTAGGGGGCCCATGAGCCTGGAGAGGCCTTAACCCTGTGAGGAAGTATAGGGGGAGCCCTCTCCCACCCCCATCCCTTTCTGAGAGTGGTCAATGTTTACAAGCCCCTGAGCCCCCCTGCCCAGGGACTCAGACCCTGTTGCTGTCCTTCCCCCGGCCCCGGTCTTCCTGGGCCCTCGCTGCTCCCCTGCCCTTCCTGGGGTTGGGGTGGGTGCAGGGGTCGCCGTGTTCCCTGTCTGCCTTGTACCCACAATCTCCCCGCCCCCTCTCCACCCTGTGTGACTTCCCTCTTTACCTGCTCCTGTAAATACTCCCTTCTCCCAATAAAACTTGGTGTGTGTTCTCCCGTTCCGCCTCCGCTGCTCGTTATCTGGGGAGAGCCATGGGGATGAGTGGCTCTGCGCAGAGTTGGGAACTAGGAGCTCCGAGCAGGGTCCGCCTGGTCAGGCTGGCTCTGGTCAGCAGCCTGATGGGGGAGACCACGGCGGGGGGCTGCTTATCCAACAACCTCTGGATGGAAGGCTTTGGGCTGGGGTTTCGGCTTTGCTCTGAGGGAGAGTGCAGACCCTGTCCCCAGCCCCAGCTGCCTGGTGGGCCCCATACCCTCCCCACCACCCACAGCCCCAGCAGCCCTCAGGCAGCAAAGTTCAGAAACAAGGACACAGCAAGGGCAGAGACCAGGTACAGAGTTGGAATTGGCTCCTTTATGGAAAAACTGAAAATATAATAAAAATTAAAATAAAACCAGTTTTAAAAAAGCCAGCCCCTGGGGTTTCCACCTCCTGCCTCTGGCCCTCCAGAGGGGTGAGGCCCCAACCCCAGGGCAGCAGAAGGATAAGGGCCTCCTGCCCCTCCTTTTCCCCCATTCCATCCCCTTTTTATCTCCACAGTGGGGGCCCCGGGAGGAACCAAACCTGGGTGGGAGGGCAGGGACCCAAGGCCCCGTGGCCCAGGGAAGGGGGCTGGGAGTACGCCCAGCCCCTCAGCCCTGGCCTGTAGTGTGGGCGTGGGCAGGGCCCCTCCCGGCCTGGGCCCAGCAGGGGTGGGGCCGTTAGTTCCAGATCTTGAGGAAGGAGTCCCAGGAGCCAGTGGCCACAGCCATGCCATCGTCGGTGACCCCAAGGCAGCTCACACGGTTGTCGTGGCCAGCGAGGACCCCTGTGAGGAAGGGAGAAGTCAGAACCCATTTGGCCTAGGCTCCAGGTCCCCACCCGCCCAGCCTGGGCCCCCAGCTCTCACCTGCACGGTCGCCCTTCATGGCATCCCAGATGTTGCAGTTGAAGTCGTCGTAGCCAGCGAGCAGCAGCCGGCCGCTGCGCGAGAAGGCAACAGAGGTGATGCCACAGATGATGTTGTCATGGGAGTACATGAGGAGCTCCTGATCGGCCCGCAGGTCGAAGAGGCGGCACGTGGCGTCATCAGAGCCGGTGGTGAAGGCATAGCCGTTGGGGAAGAACTGCAGGACACGGGACCGGGATGGGGTGAGGGCGAGGGGCAGGGCCAGGAGCCTGGTGGAGAGGGCCTGGCCCAACTCGCCCCAGAACTCACAGCCACCGCGTTGATGTCGGATTCGTGGCCGATGAAGGTCTGTCGGCACATGGAATCCCGTACGTCCCACAGCTTGATAGAGGCATCACAGGCGCCTGACACAAACGTGCGGCCATCGGGAGCCAGGGACAGGGACATCACATCCCCACTGTGTCCAGCAAAACCCACTGTCTGCTGGCCTGTCTCAATGTCCCACAGGGCACTGGAGAGGTGACAGGAAGAAGGAAAAGATAAGAGACGGGGCAAAGAACAGAGTCCCTGCCCTCCCCACCCCACCACGTGAGCCCAACCCTGTGAAAGGGTTCAGGGAGGTTCTTGTCAGAGCCTTAGGTGGGGAGGGGATGCATCCCTCCCTGACCCCCTTAGTGCCCACCAGGAGAGAGAGACTACAGTGCACGCTGCGTGCTGAGCACTGGGACAGTGGCCCCTGAGGCAGGAAGTGTGAGTTCGCCCAGACTGTTCAGCCCTGGCAGAGCCTCACCAGGTGGTATCCCCAGAGCTGGTGATGATTTGGTTGTCATCCAGGAAGCGGCAGCACGACAGGTACCCTGGGGAAGGAGCTGGTCAGCCAGGTCTCCACACAGAGGGCAGTGCACCTCCCGACCCCAAAAAGGGTGCTAGCCGGGCCAGGCCCCTCACCAGTGTGGCCAGGCAGCTCCCGGCTGACCCTGACGTTGCCCTCGCGGGTCTTGAGGCTGTAGATGGAGCAGATGTTGTCCAGCCCCCCACAGGCCACAAAGTTCCCTGAGGGCGCATAGGCACAGGTCATGACCCAGGAGGAGCGCAGCGGGATGGCGTGAACCTGTGGAGCAGAGGCAGCGCCAGGGTCAGAGTCAGTCAGGGCCCTGTGACCCTGCCCCACCCCCCAGCCCGCACCACCCTACCTTGTTGGTGGTGTAGCTGTCCCAGATGATGAGCTTCCCATCCTGGGAGGCGCTGACCAGCAGCCTGGTGGGGAATGGTGCAGGGAGAGCAGAAGGATGCCATGAAAGGAAGACACACCCCTTTCCCATTGCGTAGGAGAAGGTAGGGTCTCTGTTGTCCAGGCTGGAGTGCAGTGGCACCATCACAGCTCACTGCAGCCTGGAATTCCTAGGCTCAAGTGATCCTCCCATCTCAGCCTCCCCCACATAGCTGGGACTACAAGGCGAGCACCACCACACCCGGCTCATTTTTCAATTTTTACTAGAGACAGGGTCTCACTATGTTGCCCAGGCTGGTCTCAAAACTCCTGAGCTCAAGTGATCCTGCCCTGGCCTCCCCACATGCTGGGATTACAGGTATGAGCCACCTGAGAGACAGTCTCCAGCTGCAGCCCACAAGTTCTCACCAGCATGGTCCTGCCTGTCCAGGTCTGGCGGGCATGTCTGGGAGTCACCTTATTTCCAGACATACTCTGGGTATTCTGGTGGCCTACTCACCCCACCAGATCAGAGGCTGCTCCCACAGCCTGCTAGAAAGTCAGCCCACAGCGCCAGCCCACACACACACACACCTTGAGTCGGTCCCCCAGTGCATGGCATAGATCTTTGCCAGGTGCCCACGGAGGGTCCTCCGGGTCCTCATCTGGATTCTCCCCACTGGGTCCAGCCCAGCTGTGATCTGGAGGTAGAGACAGAATGGGCTCAGGGAGGCCCAGGTAGCAGAACTGCAGTGAGCAGCGGCCTCCGATCCTTGCCCTCCAACCCCAGTCACCTCCTGACCACCGAGTGCCCTCACCTGGGTCAGTGTTGAGTCCCCACATGCTTTTCGGGCATCCTATAGGGAATGGCAGAGCCAAAGAGATGCAAGAGACGGTAGGATGGGTAGGAGAGAGCGAGAAGACAGGAGTGGACAAAATCAGATTCTGAGCCACTAAGGAGCCCTCCCTCCCCCTTCCCCCACCAACACCCTCACCCAGCCCGGTCCAGGGCACCGGGAGGTGTACACACCTCCCGGCCCATACCGCACCAGGCCCATACCGCACCAGGCCCTCACCCGGATCTGGTTCCGGAGCTGCTCGGCCTCCTGTCTCAGTTGCTCCAGTTCACTCATGGCGCCGGGCCCGTGGGGCGGGGTTGGGGGCGGCTGGGGGCCGCGGGACGGGGGCTGGGGGAGGCAGCTCCTGGCCGCTGGCCCGAGGCCTGGGGGATGCAGGGCTGACGTCAGGCCCGAGGCCGCCGGGGAAGTGGGGGGAAAGGCGGGGTTGCAGCACGGCCCGGAAGGGGTAAGCAAGGGGAGGGGGGAGGGGCGGCGGCACAACCAGGGTCTCCGGCAACGGAGACGTCGCCGAGTAAGAGCCGACTTCCCCAATCTTCCTCCCGCCCCCCGGAAACGGAGCGGGAAGTGCAAGAGGAAGCGCAGGGGAAACCCCTCCCTCGGACACAGCCCGGGCGGGACACCCGCGGCAGGAACTAGGGGGGGGGGTGTCCCTTCGAAAACAGACCTGGCGTCTGCCCCAGCCCGCACCGGCACCGCCCTCCAAGCACCTAATTTTAAAAGGGGAGGTGCCTCTTGAAATTCACCCCACAAGGCGCACACCCTCCACACACACCCCCAGCTTCGACGGTGGCGGGTGGGGGGGAGCGACCAGAGGGGGAAGCTAGGCTGTTCGTGGGGTTGCCTAGGCAACCGTCACCCGGACCGAGAGCACCTCATTGGTGAAATGCCCCCACCCTAGCCCCGTTGCCAAGGCAACCGCATCCACGGCTAAGACCTGTAGGGTGGGTGACCCCACCCCCGGCCCCATCGCCCCCGCCCGACCCAGGCTCCCGCCCCTCCCCAGAACCGGCCCGGGTGGCTGTTTACAGGATTTGGGAAAAGCCGATTGGGAGCTAATAGGTTCTGGACAGCTCACCCCGGATAATCCCTGGTCCGGCTGCGCCCCATTAGCCGTCCGCCGCGGGTGGGGGTGACAACGGCGGGGAAGGCAGCCCCGAGCCGCTGCTCCCTCCAGCGCAGAGACCGCCCGCCCCGCCGCGCCCGCAGAAAGCCCGTGGGAGCCGCTCTCGAGTAATTACGGCTCCGCAACGAGGTCCCCGGCCCCGAGGCGCGGAGCTGCTCTCTCCCAGGCGCGGGCGGGAGGCCCCAGGCGGCCTGGCCCCGGCGCCCTGGACACCTGGGGGGCCCAGCCAGCGGGCTCGCGCCCGGGCCCCAGAGGCTTGGCTGGCTCCGCTCCGGGCGCCTGAGTCCTTCCCCACCCGCGGGACACCTGTGCGATCCGGCCGTACACACTGCACTCGGCCGACCCAGGCGTCCCCCACCCAGCTCCCACTTCCCCCAGGCACAGGGCGTTCCTATTCCCCACTGACATTTCTCCTCCTTTTAAGTTCAGCTTTCTACGCCAGTGCCAGGGGGTGACCCTCAAAATCGGGGTGTGGGGGGCGCAGGCAGAACTCCTTACTCCACCCAACCCCCAGGCCCGCAGAAAGCCTCTTCCAGCTACTAGCAGCAGCCCAGGCTTGGCGGCACCGCCGGAGGCCCAGGGCAGAAGGAAGCAGGGCTGGAGGAAGAAACTGGGGGCGGGGGCGACGCTCTCAGCCCTCGGTCCCCATCACCCCGCAGGGCCCTCAGCAGCCCCCAGATTCTAGGGATATAGCAGCCAGGGTCCCATAGAGAAATGGGGGTGCCACCGCCTCCGCAGGTCTGGCGGGGCCCAGGAGAGGTGACGGGAGGGTCCCTGGATCTCGCAGCTGGAAGGCGCGGGCTGGTGCGGCGCTGCGAAGCGCAGTGGGCCTGGCCCTCCAGCCCCCACGACCTCCATTTTGCCCAAAAGAAAGCTGGGCGGGGGGCGGGTGCCTGGGAGCTGGGTTTCGGGTGGGGATCTGTAAAGGGAATAGGGCGCCGAGGGCTCCGGTTTCGGGGAGTGGGGCCAGAAACCACGAGCAGAACCCAAATCGGGGGTAGGGTGGAGACTAAAGGAAGGGTGGCGCGCGGCCTTGCCTGCTTCTCCCCGATTTTGGGGTTGTGCAAGGCGAGGGCCAGCAGGGGTGCGACAGTGGAGGACACGAGGGGTGCTCCCCAGGGGCAGGCGGGAGGGTGGCGGTGGGGAAGAGGGGCGGGGCGGGGCCTAGAGGAAGCCCCGAATTTAGCCCCCCAACTTCCAAGGGAGCAAGAGGCAGTCGGGGCTGGGCTGGGGTCTGGGGTCGGGCAAAAACTTCGCTGATGGTGCGGGGAAGTGCACGCACCGTGGGGGGCGAGGGTCCCCCCCAGTTCCCCTTCCGGGTTTGGGAGCGACGGGGCCAGATAGGAAGGGAGGGGAGGTCTGGGGAGTTACGTCCGCTCCCAGGAGGCCAGCCCGGGGAGACCGAAGGAAGAGAGGTTCCCCTGCGGGAAATTGGGGCTGGGGGGCGCGAGGACTCCTTTTGCCAGCGGAGGTACCTGTGGCGGTGGGACTCTGCGGCGGGGTCGCTGGCGGCGCGCGGGCGGCGCTGTCTTCCTCCGCGGCGGAGGCGGCGGCGGCGGCGGCGCGGATGGATTTCCTCAGTGGCCCCAACCCCGCCGCCAGCGCTGCCTCCCCAGAGCGGAGGGATCCCGCCCGCCAGTGACGCGGCTGCCGCCGCCGCGCCCAAGACCCGGCTGGGCGAGACCAACGCCTTGCACTTGGGGGAAGCCAGGAGACAAAACCCCACCGAGGGGGCAAAGACGGTCCCAGTGGCTCCCAAGGATCTCACCCTCACGCTATGTGGACGCAAACCGTACTCAAAGGGTTTGCTTCCCGGAAAGGAGTAAGACATCCCCCCTCTGGGACTGGAGGAGGTGGTACTGGCACATGAGGAGGGTGAGACCGCTTGCGGGTCACGTGATCGGTCTCCCGCCCCGCCTTGATTGGGTGGCTCCAGACTGGGAAGGGGAGTTCGACGCCCCATTTCCCGGTTGGGCCACGCCCCGGCCCTGAGGAGGCCACGCCCCCTCATCAGGGGGCGGGGCTAAAGAGACCTGGACGGGGCCCGCCTTGAGGCGGCTGGAAGAAGAAGCGCGATTCCGAGAAAGTCCCCGAGCGTGAGTGGGTACGGGCTGATGCGGGCGCCCCGGGAATGCCATGAGAAGGGTCGTGCCCAGGCATTTCCTCAGCCTCGCCCACTGGGCTTTTGTAGACCCCCTTTCAGGGCTTGCCACTGTAATAACAACTCATATTTATTGAGTTCCACACTTTTTTTTTGAGACGGAGTCTCCCAGGCTGGAGTGCGATCTCTACTCACTACAACCTCCGCCTTCCGGGTTCAAGCGATTCTTCTGCCTCAGCCTCCCAAGTAGCTGGGACTACAGGCGTGTGCCACCACACCCGGCTAATTTTTTGTATTTTTAGTAGAGACGGGGTTTCACCGTGTTAGCCAGGATGGTCTCCATCTCCTGACGTCGTGATCCGTCTGTCTCGGCCTCCCAAAGTGCTGGGATTACAGGCGTGAGCCACCGCGCCTGGCCCCACACTTATTTTTTAATTGGAGGACAGTGACGTGATGGTAGGTCACTGCCACCTCCATCTCCTGGGCTCAAGTGATCTTCCTGCCTCAGCTTCCCTAGTACCTGGGACCACAGGCATGCCCCAGCCACCATGCCCGGCTAATTTTTAAATTTTTGGTAGAGGTGGGGGTCTCCCTATGCTGCCCAGGCTGACATATGTTAAGTCTCACAATGCTGGGAAATTAAGTGCTAACATTCTCTCCATTTTCTTTCTTTCTTTCTTTTCTTTCTTTTTTTTTTTTTTTTTTTTTTT